GTTTTGGATTCATTCCAGTGTTGGTAATGTCAATGCTTCTTAGACCAAGTTTATCAGGGATTTTTCTGTTTACACCAGATGTAGCAGTAACTTCGTCATTTCTTCTATTTCGGTTTTAAAAAATATGATCATTTATTTCCCTATCTATTGGCTTAATCTCATTTTCACTTATTTTCACTTTTGCTTTGACATCTTATGGCAATATGACTGAAGTTGTTTCTATTTCCTTTATAGTGAACTCTTTTTTGTTATTTTTTTTTGAGACAGAGTCTCACTCTGTCACTCAGGCTGGAGTGCAGTGGTGCGATCTCAGCTCACTGCAAGCTCTGTCTCCTGGGTTCATGCCATTTTCCTGCCTTGGCCTCCCGAGCAGCTAGGATTACAGGCACCCGTCGCCATGCCCAGCTAATTTTTTTTGGTAGAGACGGGGTTTCAACGTGTTAGCCAGGATGGTCTCGATCTCCTGACCTCGTGATCTGCCCACCTTGGCCTCCCAAAATGCTGGGATTACAGGTGTGAGCCACCCTGCCCGGCAGTGACCTCTTGTAATAAAACCGCTGGCTTAGAAACTCCAAAAAAGTGTGAATGACTTATTCTGATTCTACTTTAGAAGGAGAAAGAAACAATCACAAACCGAGGACTTTTCTGTGCAAAGGATGGGTGGTTTGGTCAAGGAACAGTCCCCCCGGAGGTCAGTCAGGGCTTTCTGTGGGAAAACATTTCTACATTCAAGTTCATCCTTGGCATTTTGGGCTCTGCAGGTTAAAGAGAGGGAGACAGAGAAAGGAGTGCTCCAAACCTTCTGACTCCTACCTGGAAGTAGCCAAGCAGAAGCAAAGTTGAATAATAGCCATGACCTCAGGCTCTGAAGCAACAAGTTCCACCTTCAGATGTGTCTGTTAAACTTCACCACCCTGGGTTGCTTGTACCTGTCTTCACTGTTTTCTATCTGAGATATCTTGAGGCATTTTTAAAACACTAAGTTGTTTTGAATAATAATTTAGTCACTCATTTGTATCTCTTCATAGTATTAAGCCTTAGGTTATTATGTGTGTTAACTCCAGTCACTGATCAGATCTCTAAGTCCTGAACTGCCACAGTTCCACCTACTAAACTTACACTTTACTTCTATGTAGAATGAGGTGACTTGTCCTGGAGAGAGAGGTATTTCAGAAGAATTCCACTGTCAGAAAATATCACCATCAATAATGAAACTATGTGTAAAGTCATGTCTAATTTATTAACTGTCACAAGTACTCAGATTATAGAAAGAGGGTCTTGATTCAAGCTGACCCTGAAGTGTTATACATTTGGATCAGTTTTCCCTTCCTCAGTAACATTTGCTGAGAATTCTCTAAGAGTAGAAACTCATTGTAGTTCAGTGTTGGGAAGAATAATTGTACCTACTTACAGAGTTGCTATATCACAAGAGAGATGCATTGTTTGTTTGTGTGGAGAGGCTGGAGGGATTAGGGCAGGAGTTTATTTGATAGGGAGTTTAGTTGTACATTTGTAAGACATCTAATTTTGCTTAAGATACCATTGCAGTAAGAATGGTTTATCTCTATCCTATAGACACTCACACTACACAAAACCACTACCTACTCAGAACAAATAGCCCTTATGAGGGAATAATTTTTCCTTGATTCACCTGATTGGATTATTTTGAGGTCAAATGAGGTTTTTTGAAAGGCCTTGCTAACCTGTAAGGCACAATAACCTGTACCAGGGTTCTCAAATTTTACCATGCAAAATAATTGCTGATGTACCTTTATAAGTGTAGATTCCCAAACCTTTGTCACCCACCCCAATTCAGATTATAATTCATTCATTTTAAGGTGGGCTCCAGAAACCTGCATCTCGATAAGAAGGCTAGGTAATTTTTGTGCAGTTAGTTCAGAAACATACTCTGGAAACACTGTGTATTTTTGTTTTGTTGCTTTATTTCTTAGCTGTGTCATCGCAGGCAAAAATAAACCCCAACATTTTTATAGTTAATTAACTTCATAGTCATTTAATTACATTGTAAATTACCCATGCAAAGTTTTAATTCTAGGACTCTTTCTATTTTATGACTTGTGTTACTCATAGTCCCCCGTCATGAATTAGTGAGTGCCTGTGTTCTTCTAAAAATATTATGTTTCTCACATGGACACAGTGAGGGGAACAACACACACTGGGATCTGTCGGTGGGGAGCGGGGAGGGAGAGCATCAGGATTAATTGCTAATGCATGCAGGGCTTAATACCTAGGTGATGGGGTTGATAGGTGCATGGTACACATTTACTTATGTTGCAAACCTGCACGTCCTGCACATGGATCCCAGAACTTAAAATAAAATAAAATAAAATTTAAAATAAAAAAGTTATGTTTGTAAGACTATACATGCCTCAGATTTTGAGAATTGTTTATATTTCTTTGTTACAAAGCCTTTTTGCATATATCCAAAGCCTCACTGTTCTAAACAGAGTGTATCCATACCTCAGTGCTGCTTCAATGATGTAGATTATTGAAAACTGATTTTTTTTTTTTTTCTTTTTTTGAGATGGAATCTTACTCTGTCGCCCAGAATGGAGTGCAGTGGTGTGATCTCGGCTTACTGCAACCTCTGCCTCCTGGGTTCAAGCAATTCTTCTGCCTCAGTCTCCTGAGTAACTGGGACTACAGGCACATGGCACCACACCCAGTTCATTTTTGTATTTTTAGTAGAGAGGGAGTTTCACCATATTGGCCAGGCTGGTCTCGAACTCCTGACCTCGTGATCTGCCCGCCTCGGCCTCCCAAAGTGCTGGGATTACAGGTGTGAGCCACCGTGCCTGGCCTGAAAACTGATTATTTTAAAACTAAGGTTTGCTTTCTGTGGACTGAACAATTATTAGCATCCTTACATCTCTATCTCATTCATGGTCTTAACCTCTAAGGCATTGGATCAGCACTGGAGCTCCCTGTCCTCCCGCCTTGCTTAAAAACAAAAAAGAAAGGAAAGAAAAGAAGGGATTTTAGTACTGCTTTATAGCCAGTGAAAGTAAACCAAAGGTGCATGCTTGAGAACTGCAGGCTGGAAACTGCAAGTGACAATAATTACCTCACGTTATTCCCACACAGACTTCCTATGACCTGGATGACCTTGGGATCTGAATTCTGTTTAATAGAATTGTCCCTCTTCTGCACCACGGCGTACACTGGCCTGAAGAAGGTGCTGTTTCCCAGGAAAAGCACTTAAATCCCCCCAAGAAATGCATAGGGCCATAGTTTCGAAGAAAAAGTATTGCTAACCAAGTGACTTACTCTGCATATTCTGCCTTTCTCTGGTTGTATTCTTTGAGATTTTTATTTAAGATAACTTTCAGCATATCTTTTTAAAGGTCAGATATGAATGAGAAAACTTTGTTTGACTTGTTAATCTTGTGACAAACAGTTTATATGCAGTGTAGCTTCCTGTCTTTGCTGACTGGTTATTTGAGGGAATTTTCTTCCTGTAAGACTGTGGAGAAGCCTCTAAAAATAAACAGCATGGTTTCTTATTGGTGAGAACATATGTGAGCAGATGTCAGCTGGAAGCAGCATATGGTGGCAACATGATAGCAGTATGTGCTTATAGAATCCCCACTGTTGGGTCTCCGTCTTCCATGCCACACTGGCCAGTCAGAGCCCCATATCTCAGTTCAAGAGTGTTCCACCTAGAAGGTGTAATCCACACATTTGTGAAAAATCTGCCACTGGGATCTTGATAGTGGGCTGAATATTGGACATGGTAAGTTCCAGAGTATGGAAGAAGTCTCTGTTATCCATTTAAAAATTGAGTGATAAGAGGCACACATATAGAAAAAAAAAATAAAAATAAAAATCAAGAGAAGAGTCCACAAAGCCTTTGTCTTGTGTTGAAAGAAGTTTTCAAGTCAGGTCTGAATAGTGGCAGTGTTACTTCTAGAAGACGTGCCCTATAAAAATGGAAGGTGCAGGGACTCAATGCATGTAAGGAGCCAGGAAAGAATGACATTCATGCCAGGTCCTAAAAGGCAGTCAGGGCTTCTTTTGTCACACAAGTTTGACAACTGCTCATATTCCTTGACCACCATTTATTTGTCAGTCTGTTTTAAATATATCATCTCATTTCAAGTTTATAAAAACCCTCAGGGGTAGGGTTATGTCTGCCTCATCTTACAGACTTCTCCATGGATTCACAGGAAATCAGTGACAGAACAGGGGTTTGAATTCACATCTTCTTCTGCAAAAATTCTATATTTTTATTGACCCTACCACCAATAGAAAAACTTTTGGACACTCAGCAATATTTTCTCTTCAATTTGAGGTATTTTGGGGGGAGAGAGGATGTGCTTTCTTTTCTAAGAATATGGTGGACAAAATACAAATTGGGTTGCTCTTACTTTAGAGAAAGCGAAGTTCAAATTTTCCGGATGTAATAACTATCGTAGAAGATGTGTTTAGTCCATTTCAGAGAGCTCTAGCTTTTTAAACTGTAGGTAAGTAGCCCCAAACCAATATTCACTTGTAGCTTTGACTGACTCAAGAAGGAATTTTCACATGCAGCTTAGAAATGATGACAGGTGGTTTTAAGAACACTGAATCTAGGCCAGCCAAATGAAAACCAAAGTTTTATTCGTAATAGGTAGGCTGTCTTTTGTCAAAGGAGGTCAAAGCCTTTCTTATTCATCTTTAATATAAATCAAGGTATTTATTTTACCGTTTCAGTTGTAAATTGTATGCTGTTATTTTAACATTAGAACATGCTAAAGGGAAAACTGAATTCAGGAGTCTGACTGCTGGTTAAGGGATGCCAGAAGATCTGGGACTAGAATCTGGAATCCTCCTTAGATCTTCAGTGTCTAATCCCCTGGCCCCAGGTAGCAGGGACCTTATATCTGGGGAAATGATAAGAATATTCAATGAGTCCCTCTTCTACTTGAATCTTTGTATAGTTCTGTGCCAGGCATCTCTTCAGTAAAATAGCTAATGACTGTGCTTTTTAAAACTCCTAGCTGTCTGCCCAGTTGTTACAACACCCTCTGGCTCAGTGGGCAGCTTGTGCTCCAGACAGTCCCAGGTGCTCTGTGGGTACCTTGGTGAGTACACTTGTCTGCTTTATTCCTCGTTTGACATAGTTATATCAAATCCATCTTTAGTGTTTGTCTTCTGTGGGGAACTTGCCAGAGGCAAGATGAGATTCTGAAATACAGCCTTGTAGTTAAGTGATCACTAAGGTGCCTAGAATTTTTTTTAGTAAGAGTTTACGTGAGAAAAACTGATGAATAACTTTGAAGTAGTACAATGACTATATTTCAGCATGTAAAAGAATGACTTGTGGGGATGAGATCTGTGTTCTAGGGGTCACAGAGTGATTTGTCATACACCTTTCCTGATCCCCATGGAGGCCACTTTCTGGAGGGTTGGACAGCATGGCCTGAATGTCAAGAGGATGTTCTTTTTTAATATCTTATTTGTATCCGTGTTCTTGTTCTTGACACGTAGTAGTTACTCAATTAATGTTTCTTGTCCTGAACCAAAGTTGAAAGGAGATTTTCTCTCCTTTAAGGTTCTAGAGCAAGCTTGTCCAACTCTCGGCCTGCATGCAGCCCAGGACAGCCTTGAATGCGGCCCAACACAAATTTGTACACTTTCTTAAGAAATTATGGGTTTTTTTTTTTTTTTTTTTTTTTTTTTTGCAATTGTTTTAAAGCTTATCAGCTATCATTGGTGTTGGTCTATTTTATGTGTGGCCCAAGACAATTCTTCTTTCTCCAGTGTGGCCCAGGGAAGCCGAAAGATTGGATGCCCCTGCTGTAGAGGGAGACCTGTGGGGGAGTTACGCTGCTGATTATCTGTGGCCTTTGTACTGACATGTCTGGGTTGCATGAGGAAATGGATTGTCGTGGGTAAGGCCCTCAGCTAACGGGACCTGTGAGCTTGCCACTTGCTCAAACCGCTTAACCCTGACCCTCAGAGCAGATGCAAGCTCCCCAGAGCCAGCACCAGGTGTTAGGCTGAGGGGTACAAAAGCCAGAGGTCTTCACCCCTTTCTCATTGGGAACACTGATTAATTCAGCCATTTATTGAATGCTTACTATATACTGGACAATGAGTCCACAGCAAAGAATAGAGCTTGGGCGATCCCGACACTCAAGGAATTCAGTGGCTAAAGTTATCCCTGAACCATGCTCAGGAAAAAAGGAAACAGACTTGCAATCGTGGCATTGGTTCACTGCATATTTTTGAGGCCCTGAGAAGGTTTGGATTATGTTGATTCTAAATGTGGGTGGAGGTCCCGGCTAGAGACAAAAGAAATGTTTTTATTATCCTAGGAAAAGCCTAGGTCACTGGATACCCTATTCTGCAATGTATCATGCCTACACATTGTTGCTTAGAAATCAGTATAGTTTATTTACAGTGGCCTAAGCTGGGGTTTCTTCAAAAAGAACTCATTCTGTTGAGAATATACATTGATTTTAGTACAGAAAGCCTCAAAGTGGCTAGAAGCTGCAATGTGAATAAAAAGAGTGAAAAGTTTAATCATGCCTTTAAAGCTCCCTTTTGTGAGTCATTATGTTTTGTTTTTATACTCTAAATTCTAATTTTATTTCACTAGCTAAACCAAGGAGTTAAACATCTGACTCCCCTCTCCCCCACACTGGCTATTTGGAAAGGAAAACGGGAGGGAATGAGAGAAGGAAAACATTTGTTGAATACCCACTATGTCCCTGGTACTTAAGACACATCATCCTAATTTTCCCCACATTGGTTGGTCAGGGAGGGCCGGAATGACGATCCCCATTTTTTAGGAAATTGTGGTTTGGAGAGGTAAACACCTTGTCTTTGGTCACAGAGCTGGCTAGTGACAGAGCCAAAATCTGAATTCAGGTCTGGCCTGGATGCCACCATACCACAGAGACCCCAGACTTTTCCCCCTTTCTTTGGCTTTTCCTTTGGAATCCTGTCCTGTTAATTTTGTAACTTTCTTGCCTACTACTTGGGACTAATTTCCTTTTCATCTTTTCCTCCCATAGTAAACAAAGTGAGAGGCCTACCCTGGTGTTTTGGGCAGTTTTTCTTCTCAGACACTCCTCACTTGGGGTTATTTTCGGTCACTTAATTTCTGCGAGCTTCTCTCTTCCTTTGGTGAAAAAACATTGGAAACCCACCCTGCTCCTCAGCGAGTCAGGGAAAATCAGGAGTGTCTGAGGGTGTGGAAGGGGAGATGGGACGCAAGCTCCACATAGATTCCCATACAGTGGGAGGCTTTTCCACTTTGCCCAGCACGCAGGCTCTGGAAGAACCCTGCAGACCCCTTTCAGACCTTCATGCAAGGCTGCTGAGCAGTGGGGCTCTGCATTTTTTTTGTCTCTGTTCTTAGAAATAGTAATTGAGTAAAAATGTAAGTGAGCGTATGCCAGGGGGCAGGCATCCAGGGTCAGGGTGAATTTCTCCATGCTGAGTGTGATTCTGAACACTCGTTAAGTGAAGTTGGCCTGTGCCAAGCAGCTCCAGGGCCATCCCTGTCACCTTGCGTGAACCGCCTCTCCATTCCAAGGAGATGTTGGGAGCGGCTGAAGGGAGCGTGAGGCCTGTGGCGCCTCTTGCTTTTCTCACTCTCTAACCTGGGTGTTGTTGATAACGACGTGTTCTGACACTGACAATTGGACTGGCAGCTCTGATGCTGCATCAGCTTTAAATTAAATACCCTGGAGGAGAAAATAGTCCATGCTCCTCACAGCCCATGTGACTGCAAAATAATTTTTCTCTTTTCAAGCTTATTATCCCCAGTAATATTGGTTAAGATGCGGTTAGCTTGCCTAAAGGTTTTTTCCTATTAAGACATAACAGTAGAGATAAGTTCCTCTATGAAGGAATGGATTAATAGTCATGAAGGCAAATATAATTTTTTTAAAAAAAGTATTTACTGAGTAAGAGGCTTTTAAGTAACTTGGTTAAGATTTAAAGGTGGTGTTTCTCTCTCTCTCTCTCTCTTTTTTAGAGACAGAGACAAGGTCTTTCTCTCTCTAGGCCAGGCTGGAGTGTGATAGCATGATTATAGCTCACTGTAACCTCTAACTCCTGGGCTCAAGCAATCCTCCCACCCCAGTCTCCTGAGTAGCTAGGACTACAAGTGTGCACCACCACACTGGCTAATTAAAAAAAAAAAATTTTTTTTTTTTTCGGAGATGGGGTCTTGCTATATTACCTAGGCTGGGTTCAAACTTCTGACCTCATGCAATCCTCCTGCCTCAGCCTTCTGAAGTGCAGGGATTATAAGACATGAGCCACTGTGCCTGACCTGAGGTGGTGTTTCTTAAAGTGTGATCTGCATTTCTGTCTCCTGGGACATCCATTAGATTCCTTGGCCCCATTTCAGAGCTGCCGAGTCAGAATCACTGGGGTGGGTGGAACTGAGAACTCCGCACATTTTAAACAGGCACTGCAGGTGCTTCTGACCTCACTAAAGTTTGCAGCTGCTCAAGTCAAAGGATGCTCTGATTATGCACATCTGTTTACTCAGTCCTACCACATGGATGGATTCAGATCCAGTGGACTCTCTGTTTGATCAGCTGGTCCTTCAAGTGTGACCCTGAACCTACAGCCCCTGTGGAGTTTTTGCCATGTGCTTTTCATTTTCCCAAATGCATGCAAATATTGAGGTAGTTATTAATAGTATCACACATACCCTCTGCTCACTGTTCTTCACAGAGGAACGAGTATGCAAGGAAGTAAATTAATCATGTGGGTGGATGTTGGATGCCTAGTTTGGAAGTTATGTATGGGAGTGAATTTCTGCACTCAAATGCCTTCAACTGGGCAACTGTGGAGTGGGGAAGGGACTTTCAAAGCTAGTGTTTAATGCATAAGTGACACATATCATGTATAAGATAATGTGTAATTCCCCGAGGTAGCATTTGGCCAAAGCGCTGCTGACCTCTTGGTGGCCTGAATCCTGTTCTGAGACATTCCATGGGGTAAGGACCTAGCAAACAATGGAATGTAAACTTTACTATCTCAGCCAAACTCAGCTTTGGGTAACTGCAGGGTTCTCTTTCCAAATGGTGTTTTGTTCAACCAGCGGCATTACAGCAGGCAAGAATCTTACCAACCTATTAAGAAGCAAAGTTAATGATAAATCACCTGGTATTTTCTTTGTGCAACCCTGTGCTTCCTGGTATTCTGATGTTTTTGAACCACCTAATACTTTGAAGCCAACTGTACAGTATGGATATTCTATAACTACTGTAGATTTTTTGGCTATTGAACTATTTACAGAAATATCCAGTTCTCGTATGTGGTCTGCATCACTAAATAGCCCACATCGCTATTGAAGTGTGAGAAGAATGACATGATAGTATTCATTTTACTTCCCGCATAAGTCTTCAGTTAAGAGAGCTGTACATTAACTACAAATATAGATATAATTTTAAGATAAATGTCAAATGCATATAGAGACCATTGGAAGAGAAAGGTGAAGAGAGGACATTCATTTTTTTCTTCTTCTTTTTGAGATGGAGTCTCGCTCCTCACTCTGTCACCAGGCTAGAAGGCAGTGGCCCATCTCAGCTTACTGCAACCTCCGCCTCCTGGGTTCAAGCAATTCTCCTGCCTCAGCCTCCTGAGTAGCTGGGCCTACAGGTGCATGCCACCACGCCCAGCTACTTTTTGTATTTTTAGTAGTGACAGGGTTTCATCATCTTGGTCAGGATGGTATCAATCTCTTGACTTTGTGATCCGCCCGCCTCTGCCTCCCAAAGTGCCGGAATCACAGGCATGAGCCACCGTGCCTGGCCGAAGAGAGGACATTCTTATGATATATTAGTTCATTCAACTGTATTTATTGTATTTTATTTTATTTTGAGATGGAGTTTCACTCTAGTTGCCCAGGCTGGAGTACAGCGGCATGATCTCTGCTCACTACGACCTCCACCACCCGGGTTCAAGCAATTCTCCTGCCTCAACCTCCCGAGTAGCTGGGATTACAGGCACACACCACCACACCTGGCTAATTTTTCTATTTTTAGTAGAGATGGGGTTTCACCGTTGTGGCCCCACTGGTCTCAAACTCCTGAACTCAGGTGATCCACCCTCT